CTGAGCTCCCTTGACCAAATCTTGTACTGACTGGGCTGCAGATGTTATTTTACTGGCACCTTCCAATATCCCATTGAGGTGGGTTGTTAACCCCTTTTCCATAAGAGAAAACAGGTTAAGTGATGGAGTTGGGCTTTGAACCTAGGTTATTCCAGTCTGCCAACGTATAGCCTGAAAGAGGTAGACACGGGCTGTCACGGGGGTTCAGGGATGAGGCAGAGATTTGACCCTGAAGGGTGAGTTGGGATTTTGAAAGGTAGGGTTGCGAGAGAGCACCTCATGGTCAGAAGGGATATTATGAACAAAGAGATCAACTGTGGGGCATTTTGATCATGAAGGCTGCAGGTTCATCCAGTTTGTGGGCAGTGTACCCTGGGTATAGGGGAGCAATGGGAAGGAAACTGAATACCCTTGAGGGTGTTCAAATTTTGTCAAGTTGAAGTTCTTGTTTTTCAGTTAAGAGCAGCTCCTCCACCCAAAAGGCTTTTCAAATGATACTATCATGTAACCAATTAGCAAAGGCACAGGAGACTCTCACTGTGTATACTCCTGGGCTGAGAGGGGGGAAGAAGACTGAAGAAAGCAACGTAGTTCCTCCAGTGTGTGCCGAGGGACCCTGTGTGGTTGGAAAGTCAAGATATGCACACCAGAAAAAGCAGCAGTCAGCCCAGGCAATTTGTGATCAGGGCCAAATGAGTCTTCCCAACTGTCAAATTTCCAAGAACGTGAAGGTTGGGGGGAGTTGAGGACGGGGTGGAGGCGGGGGGTGGCCTCAAAGGGAGGCTTCATGAGGAAAGTGTTTGGGCTTTGAGAGGTATCTTAATAGGCTGGTGGAGAGGAAGGCTGGCAAACTTAAGACCAGGTAGAGCTACTAGTGTTGCTGGCATGGAGGGCTCTGTGTAGGCCTCCCTTCCTCGGACCACGGCTGCCCCCATCTCTGTCTTGACCTCCAGGAGTTTATTAGGGAAGATGGGACTGTACTGGGTCAGACACAACCCGTGGGGGCTGGGAAACAAGGCCGGGTACCCGATATTTCTGATCCTCCAATTTTCTACACTTAGCCTCAATTCCTGGCAGCTCCCCCAGCTGCTGAATTGTGTGTGTATGTGTGAGCGGTATTTTAAATTAAGCAGTGAGTGCTTTCAGCTCATCATAAACATGCTAAAAAGCTTCAGCCACGGCCTGAGCCCACCCCCGCCCCTTACACTCAGGCGGCAGCTGGGGCCACTCGACCCTACACTCTAATGCGTGTTGCCTATGACTCACCAACGAAAAAGACTATATGTTTCAGTCTTGCTGGGTAGCTGATTCCTAGTTGTGGTGGGAAATCTCAGTCCGATTTTGGAAGGCAGTGGGCCTCAGCCCCGCCCTGCAGACTGACAATTCTACAGCATATGGAGCGCCTACTGTGTGCAAGGCATTGTGGGTAAGTCCGTTAATCTCTCTGGGCTTTCCATGCCCTCATTCAGAATGCATTGACTAATACTGCCTGCTTTACTTCCCTACTGGGGCTGCATGTCTCAGCCATGCTGTTCTTCTGAGTTCTGGAACATTCCCAAGGCCTTTTCCTGCCCCAGGGCCTTTGTGCATGCTATTCCTTCTGCCTGGACTGCCTTGCTCTTGCTTTTGACATGGGAGGCTTCTTCTTAACCTTTCAATCTTGGCTCAAGTGTCACCTCCTGAGATGTGCCTTCTCCAACCACCTCCAGTTAATCCCCTCCTAATATTCCTCTTATTGGCTATAGCTCCTTAATCCCACTTACCTCTCTGTGTAATTCTGTTTCTATGTATCTATTTAGAATCTGTCTTTCCTATTGGAATGTAAACTCCAGGAGGACAGGGACCTTGTCTTTATCACTTGGCAATATGTGCTTCTCATTTAGGTGGGTGCTTGGCACATAGTAGGCTGACATAAACAAAACCATCTGGGAAATATTTTCTCCCTGAGGTTTTTGCCAGACATATGGTTGCTGAGGAAAAAAATCATGACAGAACTGTGTCATTCCAAATGAAAAAAAAAAACAGGCTAAAGGGAGGAGTTTGTTGAAAGCAGTTTTGTTTTAGAAACCAGTCCTTGGAGTCTCATCACTAGACACAGTCTTACGAAAGTTAAACAAAAGGAATAGAAAGCATAGGAAACTAACTTTTTACTGGGGGCTTACTGTGTACCAGGAGCTTTTCTAAGTGTTCTACAGAGATTATCTCATTTAATCCTCATAATAACCCAATGATGTCAATTCTGTTATTAGCCACTCCATTTTACAGATGAGGGAGTTGAGGCCCTGAGATATTAAGCAAAGTGCCCAAGGTCATGTATCTAGCGAGAGACAGAACCAAAAGTTGAACCCAAGGTGATCTGAGGCTGGGAACTGAATCATGCATGCCCCCAAGCTACCCTGCCACAGCTCTGATCGACTATCATTCCCACTAGACTGGGAGCTTCTCAAGTTCAAGGACTTTGTCTTCTTCATTTTTGCTTCCCCTGTGTCTAGAATAGAACCTGTTCCAAAACAGGTACCAATCAATATTTGTTGAGTAAATGAGTAAGGGAGGGAGTGAATCCCTGTTCTTTTATTTTCTCAGGCACAGGCTTATGGGCTCATGTTTATTTCCCTGGCTTGCATTAAAATGTAGCACTGGCGACAAGGTGTGTTCTGATGTGAGAGGTCCCTCTCCCTGTGGGATACAGGGGGTACTGGTGCTGACTGAGCAACCTCAGCACAGCGTTTCTAGAGCAAGGCGCTTGATTGTAAGAGTTTCATTTTGTCGTCCATCTAAAAAGTAGCCGGACCTGTTTAGGACTAAAACAAACTTTCAGTTTTCCAATCTGATCTCAAATCCTTTGCAGAAGGAGGCAGAGTGAGGGGGAGGAGGAGGGGAGAGTTATAAATAAACAAATACCCACAAACCCGCTGGTTTTTTAAACAGAATTTGCTTCAATCAGTGCTGCGCCACATTTTCCCAACTGGCCTCCGTTATGAGAACAAGTGGGAACTTTCATACTGAATGGCTTTCTTTTTTTCCCTGATCAGATGAATGATAGAAGTTTGGGCTTGGGAGGCAAATTTCAAACCCTCAGCACACAGTTTGCTGTCCTACTGTGCCCGGTCCATCACACACAGTGCCCTTCACAGCCTACCTAGTCATCACATCTGCTGCTTCAGCCCTCCAAAATAATTGGGTCATTGTTTTATTACACCACTGAGAGAGCTGCGAGTCTGTTAGGATTATGTCATTGACATTTGCGTGAAAAGGCAATCATGATATGCTGGTCATTTCACACAGCTGGGAATGCAACTCTGTTGTCATTGTGTGAGGTTCTCATCCAACCCCTCTGACTTCGTGTCACAGCCCAACAACAAGTGTCGGTGGATCGCCCTGATGTCTGTCACCTTCCAGGGGTTTTCTCGCCCTTCAAAAGACTAAGCAGGATCTAACTCTTTTCAGGCACTTGGACTTTTTGGCTTATAGGGACAGAGGGCTGAAGGTGAGAGATGCCTGCTTTTCCTGCATGTGGAGGTGTACACTCTAGTGGCGGGATGCTGTAATACAATGTCATTTGTTCACTGACTGCTGATTGGACCCAAGGACAGTTTTGGCCGGAGAACAAATGATGGCTACCGTTGTCTGTGGGGGAGGACTATTTAGACAATTTATGAATCAGAGTTTTGTGGTGATTTCTATTGTGTGTTCCTTTCAGTAGGACCTGTGCTTTGCTTGCAGTTGTCAGTGTGCTTAAATGCGGGTCTCTGTGAGTGTCATTCAAGTCTATTTGCACTTATCAACAGGTATTAATGATGGCAGAGCATCTCAGTTGCAAACAAGGAAATGACTAGCACTGATTATAGAAGTATACATAGAGCCCAAATTCATGTGCCAATTCTGCTGTTGCAACTCACTGATCTTTTTTCCCCACTAGTGTTCTAGCTGAAGTTTTATGGTGTGTGGCCATTAACGTACTCTTCAAAGGAATCTGTTATTGACCCCTGTCCATCCCTCTTCTGGTCCCTGTCCTTGCCAAGCCCGCCCTTCCCAGCCACCTTGAGGTGTGAGAGGTACAGGCAGCCCAATAAGGTAGTCAGCTGAAGAGATATAGTGGCTTACATGCAAATCTCCTAATCCCCTTTGCCATGATTATAAAGAACTCAGGTTCCTAAATTTTTCTTGGCAGCTGATTCCAAGTGCCTCTGGGCGCTTTGGTATTTGTACTGTTCCTGGTTCCTGCTTTTGATCTTACACTGCAATTTCCCTTTCTGTAAAATGGGGCTCTTGCTGCGATCAAATGAGAGAAGTTACCCAGAGCTGGCACGGTGCCTGATGGGGAGAGAGTAAGTGCTCAAGCAATAGTCCTTGCCATCTCCTTTTCCCTGTCCTGGCTTCTTCTGGTTCTGTTTGCTGTACCTCTTATATTGGCCCTGGACCACGGCCTGTTCCCTCCCCTGACTGGCAAGCCAGGTCCTCCACTCCTCAGACAATCAAAACCCCCTTTTCTGGCAGCTTTCTGTAGTCCTTAACCTGTCCCCATGCGGCACTCAGTGTAACCACGGGCAGACCTCTGCCAGCTGCTGTCATTAACCTGTTGAATTCTGGCAGGGAAGAATCAGCTTCCAGACAGGAATTTGCATGTTGGGGCCAGACACAAGACCAGGAGGCCAAGTCATATTTAGTTGCCTCCTCCAGTTGTGAGCCAGTCACCCACATTCTGGTTACAACCAGATGTTTCACACCCATGGCTGCAATACCACCCAAACGGTTGCTAGCATAGAGTGGTTTTCACCATCAGAAACGTAACCTGTGTGTCACTTCTCAAATTTCTTAAACCAGCCACCCACACCTGGGTACTTTTCCCTTGAAAATGATCGCCTTGTTAGGCGTCTTGTAGGAATTTTAATTTGGAAGCGCTGGGAGTGCTTATGCTCTTTACAAAGGGGTCCCTGATTACTTTCATTGTCAGGGAGTTAAAATATTGGAGAAGATAATGAGATCTTCCCCAGGCTCACCTGCTTTTTGGAAATGCTCCTCAGTTGCCTTGGCCAACAGCCAATCCAAACACTAAAAAAAAGAGAGAGAGAATGCAGGAATCCCAAATGCCATTCTTGGTGCAAGCCCAAACAAGAACGGGGGCGGGGGGGGGGGGCAGGGGGCGGTGTGGGAACCACAGAAAGTGGAGAATAGGTAGTTTTTGCATCCTAGGCTGGGAGCTGATCTCTGCCAGCCCTCCCCCCCGACATGTCCGGTCTCTTCTCAACTCATAAAGAGGACATGATGGTGACATCATACAGCAGACTCCCCTGCCAGAGTCAGTCACTCAGCCCAAGAGGTTTTCCAGTCTGGCAGGTCACCTCAGGGCCAAGAGTAAAAGGTCTATCCAGTGAGTTCTCTGCCATGATTGGGTTTCAACTGCTTAGGCTTTTTTTCCCTGCTTTGGCTTCAATGGTTATTGGTGTATGTGCTTCTATGCATTTGGGAGGGGTGACGTGACCAACTGTTCTGTGTGTAGGTGTCAAATTTTTACTTTTCAACACTTTATCACATTCTCAGAGACCCTCTCAGTTCCTGCAACTGCAAGGTTGTGCTGTGAAACAGGCTTCTTTCTCTGCATTCACTGGGAATGGTTTATTCTGATAACGTTAAATTCCCATTGTTTCCAGCATGAGGTATTACATCAGAAGAGGCAGGTGGTTAAGTGTGTAACCAGCTCTTACTGGGAATTCTCTCTTCCTCCTTCAGATCCCTTGTAGATGCTAAAACGTGTCTGGAGTTTCTTTCATGCCATTTTATTGAAAATTCATATTCACTAATTCAAACAGATTTTTTGAGTCGTTATGTGTGAGGTACTGTACTATGATATGCTTTATATTCCATATCTTATTTCATCCTCACCACAAAGCAGTAAGGGAAGTACTGTCATTATCTTAATTTGACAAACAAAGAGACAGGCTCGGAACATAATGCAAGATCACACAATCTATATGTGGGGAGGTAGGATTCAAACTCAGGCTTATCTGATGCAACGGCACTATACTGCCTCCACATAGCATATTTCAGGCCTCTCACAGCCCTTGAGAACAAAATGAATCCTTGATGAAAATGCCCTACTCTATATTTCGCTAATCGTTACAATTACTACTGCTATTACTACTGCCACTGCTGCTATGGTTACTGGTGCTATTATCATTTTCCCAGCACAGGCATGTGCTTTATACCTAGCTGCCAGTTGTAGAGTTCAAGCCTAGGCTCATATGAGTCCAGTACACCCATCCCACTTATTTTTTTAAAATATATTTATTTGGCATCAGGTCTTTGTGTGGCATACAGGATCTGCGTTGCAGTGCTTGGGCTCTCTAGTTGTGGCACATAGGCTCAGTAGTTGCAGTGTGCGGACTTAGCTGCCCCGCTGCATGTGGGTTTTTAGTTACCCAGCCAAGGATTGAACCTGCATCCCCTGCATTGGAAGGTGGATTCTTAACCACTGGACCACCAAGGAAGTCCCCGCCATTCCACCTTTTTGCACTGCTTGGAATAACACCCAGAAGATGGAAGACATACACTCCTCAGGTAGGTTACTGACTGCTGGCTCAACTACCAACATTCACCCAGTGGTTAGTGAGCATGTCAGATGAATGATATATAGCTCCTGCCCTTGAGTTGCTTGTAAGACCTTCTAGGTAGACAGATATGGGAAGCATTCATTTAAATGCATTAAATTTACCTGTGGTAGAAAACAAACATGATCTGTAATTCATATGCTAGACTATGTGTAAATGGGAACTGTAAAGGGCTTGAAAGGGACTGGACTAGTTTAATAGTAAGAATAAGGAACAGGAAGACTCTGAAACTAACTAGCTACCTGTGCCTTTAACCTCTCTGGGCTTCTGTTTCCCCAGCCAGGGCCCCAAAGTAATAGTCATAGATTAGGTACTTTACTGTGCACCAGGCACCGTCCTAAGTGGTCTCCATGTAGTCTTGAAGACCATTATTCTCACGTTCCCTTCTCTGGAGCTCAGGCTCAGAGACTGTAGGCAATATGCTTTAGGTCACATAGCTCTTCAGTGGCTGATTGTGTCTATCTCTAGAATCATCCCAGGCCACTTACTTGCATCGCCTCCTTTACCTCCTGACTGAACTCCAAGGCAAGTGTGCTCTACTCTGTTGCCTTTAAATGAAAATTAAAATCAAGGAGAGTCTTGTTCAGTGGAGCCAAGAGGATAAACATTCGAAATAGCAATTAGTAGGTAGAAATGTTGCCAGGAAGAGCTATACAAAAGCACAGAAAGACACCCAAGGGAGTTAACAATGTTGGGGGCGCAGCGGCGGTTGCACATTGATGTTTAATTGGATCCCTGCCAGCCCTTACCTTCCTCTTTCACCTTCCTGCTGTGTAATTTCTCAGGTTTCTCTAGAGAGCACACCCCACCTAGGGGTAGCCAGAGCCACCACAGGAGGGCACCAGGCCAGGACTGTCAGGCCTAGGGCAGTTGGGCTCTGGGCTGGAAACCATAAATAACAACTTTAATGAAAGGCAGCTTTGGCCAAGAGCCCTGTCATTTCTTAAGAGATTCTGGGCCTCTTCTATGGACCTAGTTACTTGAGAAAGGTCCTGCCATAGTATATATAACAACAAGGATAATGATATAACAGTTGCCCTTTAGTGAACATTTACTATGGGCCAGGCCCTTGCTGAACACTTCCAGACACTAACTCATTTAACCCTTGAGTAGCCCTATGAAAACAAGTGTTATGGTTTCCCTCCTTTTCTATAGGAGGTATCAAGCTCATAGAGGCTAAGTAACTTGCTCAAGTTCATAGCAAGTGGGAGCTAGAATTTGAAGCCTGGAGCATCTGGTTTGGGGGCTAGAGCTCTTAATTCCTGTATTTAATAAATGTCTGTTAAAGGAATAAACAGATGAATGAATGGACAAATGTATTAATTCATTTCACTTTACTTTAACAAACATTTATTGAGTGCCCTGTGTCAGCCCCTAGGCTGGGCATTGAGGATTCCAATGTTAAACATTTAAACACAGGCACACCCACTCCATGGCCCCTGTGCATGAGCTCACAAAAGAGCTCTCTAATGTGGCATGATTTCTTCTGGGGAAAAGTAATTCAAGTTTCTTGAACAGCAGTTTTTAATGATGCTATTAAATTTAACCCAAAGCAGGGGTTGTGCACCGGGTAGCGAAGAGTTTCAAATGAGAAAGTGTCTTTGATTAATCATCGATTCAGCCAGAGAATGGTTACTATCAAAAATGGAGCTACAACTCCGATCACATTAACTAACTCTTCTTCCATCTATCATGTCTATATGCTGTCGAACCCTACCATAGTACAAAAATTATCTGTACTCTAATGGACAATTATCCCATCCATCATCTCCTGGCCCTGCTGATTGCTGGCACTCTACTTGCCCACGGAAGGGAGTTATAAGTAGTCACGACCGATGATGCACTGGAAAATTGCTTATTTTTACACATTTCAAATCCACGCAGAATGAATGTTTTTGCAGGCTGCCCTTTAAGCTATATTTGCTTTCCTGGTTATATAAGAGCAGGTTATGAATTCTTTACCTGTATGTGAAATGTGGCCACTGTGAACATTTCAAAACCCCTCTAGGCAGCAACCCTATAAATATTAAAATAACAGATGGATGAAACACACCTGGGGTTATAGCAGAGGCGCACGCCATGTACCTGGGGCTTGGGCAGCTAGTCAGTCATGTCAGGGTGATCACTATCTTTCTTCTTTTCCAGGCATTTTGAAGAGAATCCCAAGTTGATTAGGGTCGAGGTAATGACTCATGATGTTGAAAGCATGGGTTAAGTGGACAGTGAGAAATGCCTGTTAAATTCTCTGAAACGATTACTATGAGATTTGAGGACAGAAATGCCCCACTCCCCAACCCCCCATCCCAAGTCTGGTAATACCTCTAACTTTTGATTGCAGTAACCAACATGCCCAGTGCAATCAGACTCACCAGTTGCCCAAGGCAAAAAGCCTAGAGTTGTTTTTCCCACATCTTTATTTTTCACCTCTCTGTTCAGCCAGTCAATAAGCCCTGCCAAGCTTACTTCCTAAGCATTCCTCAAATATGACCCATTTTCTCCATTTCTCCTGCCAGTGCTTTAGTTCATGACTTCCTCACAGTCTTCTCTTGCCTTGATTCCTTCAGTAGCTTCCTGTTTCCTCACCTCTCATTTTCCCCTCAGCTACAATTCTCCTCAAAGTGGCCTGAGCTATCTTTCCAAGAGGCAAGTTAGACCATTTCCCACCTCCTCCTCCATTCAGGTAGTAAAGAATCTGCCTGCAATGTGGGAGACCAGGGTTCAATCCCTGGGTAGGGAAGATCCTCTGGAGAAGGGAATGGCAACGTACTTCAGTATTCTTGCCTGGAGAATTCCAGGGACAGCGGAGCCTGGCACGCTACAGTCCATGGGGTCACAAAGAGTTGGACATGATTGGGTGACTAACACTTTCTTTTCTTTCCTCCACTGAAGTGTAACTCAATTTACAATACCTGAGACCAGAAGCTCTCAAAGTGTGGTCATGGGGCCAGCAGCCACAGCATCTCTGAAAACGTGTTAGAGTAGGTACTTCTTAGAGACCTACTGAATGAGAAACTCGGGGTACACCACCCCCCATTTGGGTCCGACAAGCCCTCCTGGTGATGTTGATGAGTGCTCAGATTTATACCTCCCGCCCTAAAGCCCTGGTTCACAATTCTGCTTGCACATCAGTATAAACCTGGGGCGCTTTTAAACATTCCAACGCCTCCCCCTTGGGCTTATTAAATCTGAGTCCCTGGGAGTGGGAGCTATTCATCCGTGTTTTTTAAGAGTTCCCCAGGTGATTTCAGTTTGCAGTCAAAGCTGATGACTACTGTTCTTCAAGATGAAGTTCCAGCTCTTCAGTCCTGTCTTCCCACGCTCCTCCTATCCTCCTTCTAGAATCATAGGGAATCATTTACAGTTCTCTGAGGCCACAGTCTCTTACCTCTGAGCATCTGCACACATCTCCCCCCTTCCCGCCCCTCCCTCTCCCTCCTGATGCCT